AGCCGGGGAGGCGACCGGCTCTCGGGCAGCAGCGGGCGAGCCCCTGGCGGGCCCAGCTGTGCGCCGCGTCCCAGCAGCGAGGGCTGGAAACGGCATTCCGAACAGGGTCCGTGATGTAGGTCGTGACGGAGTCTGATGGGGAAGAAATACAGTTACCGGCCCGCTACCTGTCCTTTGGGATTCACTGGCTCTGAACTGTTCTGAAACGCAGCCGTTACTCCTGGGGCTATCAAGGAGATGCTGGTGCCTTTTGCCTTCAGTAAATGAAGTTTCTTTTGCACCTTTAAATAATAGCCTTTGGAGGCTAAGTCGTCGAGGAAGCCCTGCTGCACATATCGGCTAAAATATGGAAGAACTGTCAGGAGTTAATCACGAGTCATGACTTTAAGGTCAGAATGGATCAATTTTGTTCCGCCCGATTCTCAGCTATTACAGATGTTGAGCTTAAGCATAACGTGCCAGGCCCATGACTTCTGGCAAGACAGACTGCATGTCCCCTCCCCGGGGCTGCTCTGGCATATGAATCCTGACTGTATGCGGGAGCCATACCGTGAGGGCACTTACACTTGGGTAGTCAAATTCCCCTTTTCATTTATTGCTCTAGCTGCTGCCTCAAATATTTGGATTGCTATGGTAAACATCACTTGCTTGTTGCAGTGACCTTGTACATCTCATGTTGGGTTGCAAGTAAAAATATATTCTAGCTTAAATACTTCTCTGACACCATTTGCTACAACATACATGAGAACTGTATTCTTTCTAGTTGTTTCTACTAGTGCTGACATAGTCTGTCCCTTCTGCCATACAGCTATGTTTAAGCATACATGTCAGTAATGGTAGGAGGTAACAAATAGAAATTGGATTGGAGAGGAATACAAATTGTCAAATACATTCCTGCCTAGCCGGATAGCTGCAGACAGACTTGCATGCATGAGTGGGGTGGAACTGAAGTAGCGTAAGTCTGTTTACACTTAGAAGGCTTCTGACTCTTGAGTCACAGAGGCATGAAGAACCCTAGAGATGAGGAGAAGACCAGGAGGCTGTGATTCTTCTGCACTTAGGTTATCGATACTGATAAAATTGGGGATTTTGTCCGTGGTGCTCAGCTAGGCAAGAGCTCGAGCTATCACCCCCGTTTTGAAGCTTAATGCCAGCTCAGAATATTCAGATGTTCAAAAGTGTAATTCTTTGACTATGCTGTGTAGACTCGTTGCTATGGTGAATTTCGTCTTTAATGTGCATGTCAGTTATGCCTTTTAAAACTGTCAGGCACGCAGAAGGCTGCAGTACAAAATCTACAGCTGTAAAAGGCGGAAGAACAAAATTCACCAGAGTTTGAATGGAAGAAGTGATACTAATGCAAAGTAGTTTTGGAAATGTTACCTAAAATGTGTAAAGATACTGTCTACCCAACCGTTAGTAAAAGTGTTTTTCTCTTTGCTTTCCACGAATCCTAATCCTTAGCGTATCATCTATTTAGTTAGAGTTACTGCAACCTTATTTTAAATGTGGAGTAAGTAAGGACTCGGGTTATTGTGCAGTGACTTACCCTCACTCCCCGGCAAGATAGGAGTATGGTGCACTGCAAACCAGGACAGCTGTCCTCGGTTTACCTTGTGCTAAGAATACCCGCACGAGGTGTTAGTGCACAGAATGTTAGAGAGCAACTTGGCAAAGCGTTAGTTACTCTTGTTTCATTTGGATTTTTATGCTAGTTCCAAGATGAGAAATTTAAAGCAATATGATTTTCAAATGTGGATTTGCTGCAATATTGTTAAAATCGCATTTGTGTACTAAAATTGTATCTTCTTGGTTTATATTCTTGCAGGTTTCTCGATTGTTAGGTGCTTTCAAAAACCAAAAACAGGTGACCAGAAGTTTTGGTAGTGCTGTGAGTATAATAGTACCATTTTTTTTCTTTTAAGAAGTTTCTCAAGGAACGTGTTCAGAAATTTGTAAGATTGCTGTTGTTACTCTTACTTGCTCAAAAAAGAAGGCCTAAATAAGTGAGCACACATGCTCTTAATGCCTTGCTGTATTTATATTGGTTAATTACTGTCTTTGGCAATTGCATATTGAAGCGTAAGTGATAATATGCTTTAAAAGGCTCTAGCAAACGGTAGATGTGGCATGAAAACTTTTCACAAAATATGGACATAAGCCAGTCTTCTGAAACTCATTTGGAAATGGGCAAATATTGGGCGAAGTAGAAAGACTGTTGAGAAGCTTCTCATTTTCTTTATTTTGCAGACTTTCCTCTAGGCACTAGATTTACTTTACTGCTGCTTTTAGAATACCTTTCATCTAAAGTTCTGCCTTTTCAAGGCCCTCTGTGAAGTATTTTAGACACCGATTGTGTATTCGCTTGTAGATGTTTTACCTTCTTTATGTATAATGTGTTTGAAATGCCCATAAGCCTTTGTTTTTTAGTGCAGGAAGCCTTGAAAACTGCTCAGGCAGAAGCAGGGCTCAGCACCACGGCATGCACCCTTAAGCAGGACTTAATTTTAAAGAGGAACTGTGGCTTTTAATTATAAGTTTTGTAGAACAACAGGTAGAACAACTAGAAAGGAAACCGAAGGGTCGTTCCTATCTTGTACAGTATAAAAAAATTTAGAAGGTGAGGCACCTCCGATTCTGTTTATACCACATTACTGTTTCAGATGAAGCGTTCTCTGGCTTAGGTGGAGTCCTGCTGTGCTGTGAAGCAACAACACAAGACAGCACAAAACTAATCTTGAGGCATTCCATCAGTTATGTGCTTGCTCAACAGCAGTGTGCTTTTATCTAAAGCTCTGCTGCTTTTGTGGTGCATAGTGAATTTCTTTGCCTCAAATGAGTTAAAAAATCAGTCAATATATATTGAAATTCTGACTATTTTGTGTGGAGAAGGATGGAAACATGTCTAGTGAGTTGATTCTGATTGGGGTTTTGCAAATAATGCTGCATCTGAGCTGTCATTTATGTAGGTAATAATAAGCCCTTACAAAACTGCTGGAAATCTTGAAGTAAAACAAAAAGAGCTGGGGCATGTATGATTAGAATAGTGATCATAAATATTTTTTTTCTATCAAAGGAGAGTACTTTCTTCCCCTGCTATTCATGAGCCTGGACTGTGCAATTTATTTCAACTGTTTGAAGATGATAAAAGAAAGACGACCGAGAACATTATGGGAGGAAAATAACTTGGTATTATTATTATCTGAGATTTTTAGGAAGTCACTCGAGAAGTTTAGATATCCATGAGATTTATCTTTTTAGGGTGAATGTAGCTTTCCATAAATTTAATGTTTTCTAACGTGTCAGTATTATGCAGCAAGCTGATAATATTGGAGACATATGGGTAACAGAGCCCTAACTAGGTAATATTATCTCCTCTCCAAATGTCAAAAGCAAGCATGCTGAGATCATTCATTCCAAAGAGTACTGAGCAGGAACCTGCCTTTCAGGTTAAACCTCTGTGTTTTGAAATATGAACAGATAGTAGGCAGATTTTTAAACAATTCTCTCAAAACATTTGCACGTTCTGTTTGAAAGCAAGCTAGTCATTCTCGCTTATGTCCAGTACCACTATTCTTCACAGTGAATATTTGGTAACTGAAACTTTCTTTTCCTTTCTAGTAGTTACTCGGCTCTTACCACATGTGAAAATGTTTTCTACATAGAAAGCAAGCATTCATTTGTTGTACTACTGATATTTCTTTACCTAGGTACAAACAGTAACTTTAATCCCAGGAGATGGCATAGGACCCGAGATTTCTGCTGCTGTCATGAAGATCTTTGATGCTGCCAAAGTAAGTCATATTTGCCTTGCTGTAAGTGTTCTAAGTTTAAAAACAAGCATTAATAGGTGTATTAAAAATGTTTTCTCTTTAACTTCCAAAAGATCAAGTCATGTTTAAGCTATTAAAGCTTCCTCACAACAGAAAGAGTCTGAAGGTTCAGCTAATAAAAGATGGGATTGTGATATTAAGGCGGGGCTTGAAACTGTTAGCTGGCGGAGGAGTAGAGAGTTGAAAGCAAATGCTGCTGTTTTAATTTTTGGAAATATGAACTCAATATATCACGTGAAATCATCCTGTTGATGTAGCAATCCTGAGCAACTGGGAGGATGTTCTTTCATCCATTGTGACTTCCAGTGTGGATGAAAGCGTGCGATGGAAAGACTGGCTTACTTAGAAATCAAACTGCTGCACTGCCAAACACATTCACTTTAAGCAATATGAAAACTGAGTATATCCAAGAACTGTTTCACTACCTATCTGAGGACCTTCATCAGAATTTGTCTGGATTCCTTCAAAGGAAATACAGTTCATCAGGAAAGATGCCTGTTAAATTGTTCCACATTAGTAACGGCAACAAGGCATATTCCCTTTCTATTACAACTATACAACTTAGATTTGGAAAAAGTGAAGTTCTCTTTAATTATATGTGAAAACCTTGTAATAGTTTTGGTAGTTCTGGGGAGTCAAGCAGGAGGTGTGGAGGAGTAAAACCTAAGTTTGCGTGTGAGTGCATGTTTTCAATACTTTGTTTTAAAGGGGATTCTCTAGTATACTGTGCTTAGATTGGTTTTGTTTGCTTACGAAAGCGCTCGTATCTTTTTCTTTATGGTCCTTCTTGATGAGATGAGTGGGTGGCAGCCTGTTTCCACTTAGAAGATTCCCGTGGTCAATTCAAATTCAGAAAGCATTGTGGAACATTGGCAGGTTTTCAGTTAGAGAAATACATATCTATGTTACGTACTGTCTTCTAGGCAGTATGGTCGATGAGTTCTCAATGAATTCAGTTTTCAAACATCTCTTGTACACAAGGAACTCAACAGCTCTAAGAGCTTGAAAGACGTAGCATGTATGTTGCAGTTCTAATGATTTCTGTTTATATGATGCCTAGGGAGGCAGCTTGTGGTATTCAAGTTTATGATGACACATTGCTCATACTATTTCATTTTTGCTTACTTAATTACATTTTTTTTTTAAATGTTAATTTTTGAGTTCAAAAATCTCACACTTACTCTCACTCACCAGAGGAAGATAGTTTAGGAAGGCCTGGACAAAATTCCTTATGCACCTCTTTGTAAAAGGGAAGTGAAAACTTGAAGCAAAAGTTACAATATTTAAGCTAACATAGAGTAAATGTGTTTAGGCTCCTATTCAGTGGGAGGAGAGGAATGTTACAGCTATCCAAGGACCAGGAGGGAAGTGGATGATACCTCCAGATGCCAAAGAATCCATGGATAAAAACAAAATGGGATTAAAAGGTATTTTATGGGTTAATACAAAAACGTTAAAATACTGTTGGTTTTATTGTGAGTGTGATTTAAAGACAAAGCCCTTCATCTGTAGCACAATAAAATGGCTAATTGTAGGGGACAGCCTGTCAGGTAATTACAGTCTTCTGTAATCTTAAAATCGTCCTTTGTTTCAAAGCCGTAACTTTCATAGGTCTTCTAGGGAAGGTGGGTATTATTACATACCAGCCTTTGGACAGAAATGCAGAATGCATTTCTAATGCAGTTGATACACAGTAGGATGTGGTAACTATATTCCTCATGAATAGTATCTTTTTATGTTGTTTTCAGTGAAAACCTTTTGTAAAAACTCCTATTCCATGTAAGTGTCACAATTTGGCCTTTAAACAGCTGATTAGTACCACCATGTAGTGCTCCTGATAGCACAAATTCCCACGGCATTTCAGCATAAGGGTTAAATAGGAATTTGGAGATCCTCTGTAAGAGTACCACTTCACCTAGAGTTTCAACTCTCAAATTCATGAGGGGTTTACCTTCTCATTCATTCTTGTATTTCTTTTTTTTCCTTCAGGGCCATTAAAGACCCCAATTGCTGCAGGACACCCATCAATGAATCTGCTTCTGCGTAAAACCTTTGACCTTTATGCAAATGTACGTCCCTGTGTCTCAATTGAAGGGTACAAAACCCCATACACAGATGTGAACATTGTCACAATTCGAGAGAACACAGAAGGCGAATACAGTGGAATTGAGCATGTGGTATGTTGCTGGAAGTGGTGTGTTTCTGGTGGGTTTTCTGTGTTTCATGGATGATAACTTTGCCCATTGCAGTGGCCTAGTACTACAGGGTTGGGTGGTGTTTTTTAAGTTTGCTACCCATGCAAAAGTGATTTTATTGAGAAATGTGTTGTTGAGACTGCTTCACTCAGAATTCTACTACTTTGTTCCTAACATTCATACCAGTGACTTGAAAAACGAGCTTACACTTTTACTATCAATGCAACTACTGTCTTTCAGATTGTGGAAGGTGTTGTGCAAAGTATCAAGCTGATCACAGAAGAAGCTAGCAAGCGTATTGCAGAATTCGCTTTTGAGTATGCCAGAAATAATCAGAGAAGCCACGTTACTGCTGTGCACAAGGCAAATATTATGTATGTTGGCATCTCTTTTTGAGAAGAACAAATAGTAATACGTATTTAATTATAAATAACTTTTAAAATCTTCCTCAGATGTGTAACGTCTGTTGATGCTAGTGGGAATAAGTGAAATGGGCAATAAGTAAAATAAATGCCCCTAAGTAAAACAGGCAATACCGACCCAGTATTGATAGTGCTGTGATAATTATGTACTAATGTTTTTATTAGTAAATTTGTAGTAATCCTGTGACTTACTTGCGAAGTTCTTTATTTTTAAAATAGTCTTAAACTAGAAAAATGCCTTTAAAAACGGAGGGTGAACATGGCTAGTGTCTTTTACAATTTCCAAGCCACTTTGTACTGAACTGAGTCGTAACACATGTGGTATTATGTGACACCACCTTTACAAACTCAGTAAGCTTTTAGTAAATGAATAGGAATCATTCAGAGAATTAACGTATGCCTGTTAAACTACTGATAGAAAATATTTTAGGAGGACATCTAAAAGGTGTGACTTCTCTGACTGTAATATATTTTAAATATTATTTATGTATAACATAAGGGATAATTACTCACAAATTAAGTTTCTGCACAGTTATATTTTTATTTAATATAAAATTTATACTATGTTTATTAATATATTATTTAGTAATATAATAATATATACTATAATATTAATATAAAATGATATGTGTTGCATGCAGTTTTATCTTCAGTATTGCTTACAATAACTGCAATATTTGCTTGCTTATTTAACTGCAGGAGAATGTCTGATGGGCTTTTCTTGAGAAAATGCAGGGAGGCAGCAGAAAACTGTAAAGATATTAAATTTAATGAAATGTATCTGGATACTGTGTGTCTGAATGTGAGTATTTATATGTTTTAACTGTGGTTATTTTTTAGTTTAAATTCTTAACCTTAATGAAAATATACTTCTTTCTAGATGGTTCAGGATCCATCACAATTTGATGTGCTTGTTATGCCAAACTTGTATGGTGACATTCTCAGGTATGGAGATTTTTATTTAAACTGACGCAACATGTAAAATATTGTTACTTTCCAGACGGTTATTCAGGTTATATGCTAGCCAGATGGGTGATGATTTTAGGCATCCAGAGTTTAAAACTTTATAAATCAGACTCTAAATGGGAAGAGTATTATTATTACACTTCAATGATTAATATATTGTTGGGAGGGGCTATATGATGACAACGTGCTTCTTATCTAAAAAAAAGTTTCTGCTTATGGAGGCTATGAATATTGTTCAGAGGGGGCAGAAGAGAAATTTCTCCAAATGTGTGAAGAATTTAATTGCTTAAATAGTAATAAAGAATGATTAGTTAGGGGAAAAACCTTCTAATCTTAAGCACTAAAATAGATTGTGTGAGATGACTGTGGGATCATGATGTTTACAGCCAGCTAGCCATACAGTTAAATGATTCTGCATAGTCACCAAAGAATGAAATGTGTGACCTCTTACTATCCTACCAGCTCTTGGTTTACGTATTGTATTTTTCCGTTATCTTCAAATTAAATTTTGTATTTGAATAACATTCATACTAGAGGTACTTGATGTCTTGAAGGCAAAATCCAGGAGCATACATTTTCCATTCTGTAAAATGTTGAGGTAGAATGTAAATTCAATTAAATACTGTGTGTAAAATTAAGTATCTTAATCTGAACTTTTCAGTGTATAACATAACATTGCTTCTCCTTGCACCTCTAAGGAGAGAGTGAGAAAATAGCCTGAACCAGAATTTTTTTAGAAGTTCAACAGCGATTTACATCTTAGAATCCATCTCCTGTTTTTGTACAGATATTAAATGTAAAGGTAACTTACGTATAAGAAGAAATGCTTGTTGAGCTTCTCTTAAAATTGCACTCTTTCTCTGATAAGGCTGCCTGCCACCTCTAAGAAAAACCACACTCCAGCTAATGCTTCTTGCTTTAAGAACTGGTAGAGGAGTCCATAGTGCCCTCACAGCAGCTGTTAGCTGTTAACTAAAAGAGATCAAATCAGATGAGTCCCATCATCAGTACTATTTCAACTTGCTTTACCTAGTTCAGTATCACCAATTTTAAACTTCTCACAGAAATTCTGTGCAGAATTTGTCACGGAAAGCTAGTCTGGTGTCACTTGGAATATGTTCCTTAAGTTACATGCAATAAACTTTAAAACTACTGGTAATTCATCTACCAGAGCAAAATTCTGCCACATTTTTAGAAGGACTTTAGATACAAAAAGTAGCTCTGTGGCCTCTTCAGAGAAAATAAGACTTCTGGATAGTCACAAGGACCTGTACATTACAATTTTTGCTAGTTTTTGAGACTTCTACAGGTATTCTATGCTTTGAGTACCTTTTGTTGTGCCTATATCTTAATCAGCTTTATTCTAGTATTTGGAATTTCCTTTTAATTTTCCTTTATCAAATTGTCTCCTGCCTGTAGGTCTACAAATTTTCAAATGTTCCAATGGAGTACAAGTGGTTAACAGAATCTCTTATTCCCCAATATTATTCTTAGAGTGTGTGGGTGTATAAAATAAGTTATTGTTGCAATAAAATGAGAAACAAAAGTATGTTAATCGCTTGCAGAGAGGCACCTGTATATGGTAAAACTCGTGGGGTTTTCCCTCTTTTTTTTTTTTCCCCTCCCCAGTGACTTGTGTGCTGGACTGATTGGGGGTCTTGGAGTAACACCAAGTGGAAATATTGGTGCTAATGGAGTTGCGATTTTTGAATCGGTGAGTCTTCATATGTAAGGTGTGGTAACAATAACTAATTTGTCTCAACCTGAAAATCTAAAACTTTTCCGTGACATACAATAAGGCTATCATTTAACGAAGTGCTCCATAAAACTATTTTTTACTGTGAAGCTGCTGAAACTTTATCCAGAGAGAGTAGTTACAAGTATGTATTACACATAGTTTTTTGCATGTCCTTTTACTGACATTTTGTTTTCCCTCTTTTTCATGAAATAGAACGTGAGGGGCACAACTGAGAGATATTAGATGACCTAGATCCCCCTTTCTGATGCCTTTGGAACTGAATTGTTCTGGTCTTTCCTATATTCTTTCCACTAACTGTATCACAGTGAAGTCAGTCCTATTTTAATATGCTTGTGCATGAGGACTGTTTTAGGTTGCTTGCATGCACTTGAATTGCCTAGGACATTTTAATCAGCATATTGGCATCGTAACAGATAGGTTCACTTTTATTTCTAGGTTCATGGAACGGCACCAGACATTGCAGGAAAAGACTTGGCAAATCCAACTGCCCTTCTTCTGAGTGCTGTAATGATGTTGCGTCACATGGGACTACACCAACATGCCACAAAAATTGAAACAGCTTGCTTTGATACAATCAAAGATGGAAAGGTAATATGAGGGTGTGCAAATAAATGCAGTGAATTAAAATCATATCCTGTCACAGCAAAAATGAACTTAGAACATTAGCACCAGAACAGTGGATGACCTGTTTTGCTGGCTTGATGCACAAGCAGCGCCGCTATCCTTCTCTTATAGTAATTATATTCTCTTTAGTGGTATTAAATCTGCCTACCGTAGTAATAAGGACAGGCTGTAGCATTCCTTGTGTCTCAGTAATGCTCATCTTTCTTACATTTCCAGAGCTTTGTTAATTCTAAAAGCTAAAATGGGATGTCTTTTTCATGAAGGGGATTAGAGGTTTAAGTAACTAGTGATATTTCACTTGTGAAGTTTATAATGCATACAAAGTGTATATATTTCAATCTGGATCCTCTCATTTGCTCACAGGCTTAATCATCCACTTCGTTTATAGCATTTCAGTCCTGACTGTAATACTTCTGCTCCTATTTTTTGAGGTCAATTATTTCTTTTTCACTCCTTGTTGTACTACAAAAGAACAGTTTTGATCCAGTATTTACATTTTCCCTTAAGATTCTATGTGATTTCCCCTTGGCAATTAGTGTCTCCAGCTATTAGAGATGCAAATGGGATATTTGGGAACAAGGCTTATGCTCCAAAACCTGGCTTGAACTTGTGCTCTTAATGTTACTGGTTCACTCATCTACTTTGACATCCACCTTTTCAAAACATAGATGGAAAGATCATGAAGATAGCAGTTAAAGAGGATTAGCAGTTAGCCATGCTGGACAGGCTATCTTGGACAGGAGCATAAGAAGCTGCTTCGTGATTAAAAGTGACAAGCATGTTTAAACAAAAGGCTGTCATCATTTCATAAGTGGTCTGTTTGCAGCTACCTTACTGTGTGTAGGAGCCAGTTAAAAAAAAAAAATCTAAACTTACAAGTGAATAAAGAGGTGCTCCTGTAAACTTCCTATTTACTGCTCTGGAAATGAAATCCTCCATCTGCAGGTCAGTAATTCTATGGAAGATAACATAGTGCAAGTGTTGTGACATGGCTACTTGTTTACTAGTTACTTACAATGCTATGATTATACGCTCACAGTGGAGAGAATCTTTTTAAATTGAAAAAAGCATAATGCAGTTAAAATTAAAAGATCCTAAAATAGTAACCTTTATTGCCTCTCATGCTTGCTACTTCTCCCTTTCCCCCAGCCATTTAATGAAGATCTCTGTGTGTGTCATATAAGGGGAAAACTAATGATTTTAAATCACCTCCTAGACCGCTTTAATCTAGCTAGGTTGGACAAGCAGTGATGCCCACTTTTTTTCTAATTTTATTATCTTCATGCTGCCAGGCAGGAGCTGTACTTGATGAAAAAGTTTCTTTTAACTCTGCATTTTTCCATCTCTTAACTAAACTAAGCAAATTTGAAGAACTGTTAACATGCAGCATTAAGAGCTATGTGTGCTTTTTCTGTGTGGGTTTCCTTTAAAAAAACCCAAAACCTTACTCAATGACTGTCAGTTGCCTTTGCACTGAGCCTTCATATATGAATTTTACTTCCAAAGGACAAACTTCTTACTGAAAATGTAAATACTTAACAATTTATTACACTATTTATGTGGCCAAGGGACTGTGGAGAGCTTTTGCCCAAACAGACTTTCTTCCTGTAGTTAAGTTAAAATCTGATAACAGAATGCTTGATGTTCAAACTCAAGTTTTCTCTGCCTGCTTCAGTCTGCATAGTCCTTATTGATGAAGGCTATGTGGGATGTGGAAAAACTCAAACTCAATGTATTCCTTCTCACCACTATTTAGTACCCATATACAACATATAAGACGAACATACAGAACTGTTCAGAGACAAGACTAGCCCCTTAAAACGGTTTAGTAATGACTATTTTTTCTTTCTTTTAGGTCTTGACAAAAGACTTGGGAGGTAGCGCCAAGTGTTCAGAGTTCACAGAGGAGATCTGCCGCAGAGTACGGGACACAGACTAAACTTTTCTCATACCACTCATAATAACTCCGAAAGGACACATCACACAAAGTACATTATATATAACTTGACGTCCATATGCATATAGTTTGCTTGTCTCTTCAGAGAGCAAACTTTTTAGTTAGGGCCTCTCCATTAATAAATTTAGTCCAAATGGCTACAAATGATGCTTGTGCCTGCTTTCAGTGGACTTTTCTAAGTGCTTTGTCTTATTTATTTTTTTCTATCGGTTGAACGTTTTACGTAAGTGAATTCTTTCATTGCTACTGTAACTGTCTACCATTTTCCATTTCAACTAGAGGTTTTTACTTTCCACAAAGAAAAATTATGCAAACAAACCAGTAACAGAATTAGTGAAATGTAAAAGCACCTTAATGGTTAAAACCTACTTTATTGATCTTACTGAAATTTAAAAGAAAGGTTTTCAGCCTAACAGTAGCACAAGATGACCTTCATAAACAGAAACGGGTATAAAATAACTTAAAATAGCAATTTCATGTTAAAAGCAATGAAAAAAACACTTTAGATACTCCGGCGAATCATGAAATATAGCCTTGCCCTCCAAGGGCATGAGTAAGGAAATAGAAAATTCTAGAGATATAATCTATTTGTGTATTTTTAAAAAGCCCACAACCATTAACCAGCAAGGGGTAAGAATTAATGTTAAAGTAAAATTATTTTTCAAATCTATATACCAAAATAATTCTTACAAATTTTCCTCTCTGAAATACACTTTACAACAGAGTTCTAATTACATAAAATTACTTCTGCCATATATTGTGAGGGGAAAGTATTAACTTTGTAAGTTTATACTAAATTTTTCATGACTTCTCCTAGAATGCTTTTTGTGTTGTACTTTTATGCATAGTCTGTTCAGTGTGTCTTACTGTATTGACTAGTAATTTTATTCTAGAAACCCTGAATGTAAGGGACTAGCCCTAAATGGATTAAGACAGACCGAAGGTTTGGCTCTGGTGCCTCTGTTCCAGAAATACATTTCATCCCTATTCAAGGGGATCTGGGACTATTTTTTCCCTGCTTATTAAGCTTAATGGGTGCAAAAGCAGCCCTTATCCCCTCCCTTCTTCATCCCATACAGATCAGACTGACTCGTATGATGATCTGTATGTCTTAAGGTATATTTCCATTAGCACACCATACAAGAAAACGTGTATTTTAAAACTCATGACTATAGCACAGGATTATCCCCACTGCCAGAACCAGGTTTCTTAAAGCTTAATTGTATTAATAGATAATACTCCACTTAGTGACTTTCTGTTAGGACTGTTTAGGTTGGTTGTTTCAGAAGTAAAATCGATTTTAAGTAACAACTTCTCATGCTGTAGCATCCCAGCTTTTTTTTATACAGTCTAACATGTTGGAGGAGGGATAGTGAGTTTTATTCCTCATGCACTCTGCTTCTGGTTAATAGAGCAACATTTCTCTCTGTGTTTCACAAGCTGCTGCTTCCTTGTTTCCTTTAGATTAATATTGTTAAAGAACTTCTGGATTGCTATTACGCACAAAATGGGGAAAAATAAACTCTTCAAAGTCCTATTGCTTGTTTTGTTTTTATAACCCTAGGCTGCTATCTTGTCTTACATGTTGAGCTGATTATTGGTACTTGCAACAAATCTTAAGTCTGTAAGATGCGTAAGACTGGTAATGGAACTTCCATGGAAACAATATCCTATTCTGCATGTTTTTTTTTTTTTTTATCAAGAACAGTGGTTGTAACCTGCCTGTGTTCACTGTTACAAATCTCTGCCAAAGATCACTTACCAACAGCAAGCCCTTTAGACAACTTTCTGTCAAGTACATCCTTCACATAATATATTTTTTATATGGCGAAAAAGAAACGCAGCTCACATTTGGCAGAATTAGTACAACATGAATACTGAAACGTGCAGATACACACTGAGAAATACTGCTTTTAAGCTCTTTTGCTTAAAAAAAGTGCTGTAAACAATTTAAAATAAGTTTCTGTTCTAAGTAGCACTTCAATGTGAGAGCTCCTGTATTTGCTGCTTTATGTCTTTCAGTCTTAGGGAGCTATTCCCCCAATTTTTTGTTTATTTCTTTTCAGGAGAAATAGTAATGCTTATTTCAACACAGATTTAAGGAATGATGAGCTGCTGTTTTCACAGAAGTCTGAATTCTAGCCACTGTAAAAAAATGGAAGAGGAGTGTCTGCAGGTTCTGAAATGTTGTGTTAGTGAACGAAAATAAACTTTTCTCTGAGAGGAGGAAAAAAACCAGCCCTTTTCCCTTTTTTTAAAGTAATTATTTTTATCACTGGAGTAGTATAACAGTTTCACTAAGCAGTACTGCTAACTACTGATCTACCAAAATATATCAGGAGCTACTGGCAACGTCCCGTACAACAAAAAAAGGGAGAACACTCTATAAAAAATTTCTTGTGTTTCAGTCTAGAGGAATTGTACCCACTTTATACAACACGAAAAGATGCTTTTAATCTTAATCATTTAGGTCATAAAGTAAAAGCAGTATTAGAAAATGGACACACTGTATAGATGCTTCTGTAAAAAGAGAACAAACTATAAAGTGAGTGTCAGGAACAACTGAATTGACAGCAGTTTTCTAGCAGTTCAGTTCAATAGACTAAAAACCAAAACAAGCGTAAATCTTCATTAATGCTTTTGAGTAGGAAATACTTTCTTTAGCTCACAGATCTTTCTTAATACTTGTATGAAAGACTTATTCTTCATAGAAGGAGTCTACTTCATTTCTGTATTTCTCAAGCACGGTGAGCCGTTTTAACTTCATTGTCGGACCTTAAAAGAGGGAGTTAGTCACAATAGCAGAAATAGGAACAAAAATTTCCTACTCTGTCTGAGCTTTGGTTCCTAAGATTTTCTATTGAAGAGCCTGTTGGGAAGAACATCTCCCACTCTGTAAGTGTAGATACCTGCTAAAAGTGAGAAGCAAGCATGGTATGTAAGGTTGCCCTCCACATAAGCATGAGGACTCCAAAGGTAGCTGCAGACAAGGTGATGGGTGATGACTGACTACTACTACTTCTTTCATTAAAAATAATGAGAAGGATGATGTTTTTGAAAGCTTTTAAATAATTCCCAGTTTATTCAGAGGCTGGTAATGGGCTTGGGCCTCTTGTCAGGCTTTCACTGTCTTGCTTCTCTTTTTTGTAACAAGACAAGAAATTGTCAGTATTATTACTGGAAGTTACTCATATTGTAATGCACAAGTCATTAATCAGACTTGATTGTTTAATTGCCCAAAGCAACCTGAAATTTAACTATAGAGCTGCACTTGTAAACGAGCACAGATGATAAATATATGCACAGCAAAAACTCCAATTTTTGTGTTCTTTAACACATGCTGCATAACAGTTTTTTCCTTTCCCCCTAGAGGCTGTACCCAGAATTGGGCATACAAAACTGTGTTTGAATACTCTTAGATCAGTAGCCTCTTTACTGTGTGTATACCTCAGTATAAATCAGTAAATCTTACCTAGTTCTCCCCCAGAAATGGAAAAATCTCTTGGCAGGACTGTCCATTTTTGAATACAATGAACCCTATTAGTAGCATTCATGTTCACTTTGTTGATACCCTCCTGAATGGCCTGGTAGATCGCCTGGTCTCTTGTAGCTACAATCTCTGATACTTTAGTTGCTCTACTACCAGTCTTCTGGCAGAAGTCTCTAGCTTGCTCGGTGAGAATGTCAGTGGGATCAGATGTATCTGGGTCCAGCACACTCTAAAATATCAAATGAAGTGAATCATCAAATGCTCACTCTTACAAGGCATTAAATGTTTCTCTGATCATTCTGTAAGCCTTAAAAAGCAGAAACACCTACAGATTATTTTCTTTCCACTTGGCTACCAATGCAAATATTTTTGGCTTATATGCAGATGACGTGAACAGACTTAAAACATCTCAATGAATTAGGCAATAAGGGGCATCTGTAGACCTTGAATTTCTACTATATTTTCCTAATTACTCCATTGCTACAAGGGAACATTTAGCTCATCATTAAATTGAATAACCGGGGTGTAATGTCAACAGCCTGAGATAGAACCATTCCTTGAAGTAACATTTCTTAAAGTAGTATTTCTGTTGTACCTGTAGGTAGGGAGTATCAGTTGTAGAGGTAAACAACTTGAGAAAAACGGAAGGGTCATTCACTATGTTTGTACACAGAACAAAGTGCAAATGCTTTAGAAAAATGTGGTTTCTCAACTGAAGCATATACCACAGCAAAGTTATTGTTTTGTTCTATAATTATCCTCCTTCTGTTACTGTCCTGGTTTCAAGAAGGATAATTGTAGAACAAAATAACAACTTTGCTGTGGTATATGCTTATTTTCCTGGCTAAACCATGACAGTTACATGAAAAGAACAAATTGTAGAGAAATGTTTCCCTTGGAAAGTCTGTTTCTGTTTGGAACTGGTTTTGCCTGTAACAGAAACATTTGTTAGCTTTGCTCCTCTGCAAGAATAAAAGCTATTATTATGCTCCATTACTGAGACTTCTCACTTCTTCAACCTTTCTTAAGTAAAAATTTGCATTTAAGTAAGAAGTAGGTCTTATTATAATATGTATAGGAGAAACAGCAGTAAACATGTAGACGTTAAGCAAATCATCTAACCATAAGAAGTTTAGACTATCTAGACTTGGTCTGTAGTTGCTACGCTTTTTTTTTTTTCCCACTAACATCCTCTTCTCTTGTTTTGTTAGGTGCAGGTGTATAATTGCACTGAAATCAATATCAAAACTGGTGTACCTTTAGGGTCAGCAACATTGACAAGAACTTCTTTTTATCTCCAATCACCATAGCATTACTAACAATTGGGAGTTCTTTTTTAACAGCATCTTCAATTGGAATTGGAGGCACATTTTCACCTCCAGCTGTAATAATCAAATCTAGGCAAAAAAGAAAGGCTATTAGTTGAATTCAAATAAATTCTGAAGATCAGGTTAATGTCTGGATTGACCCACTTGTCTTATTCTGACATAAAGAATAAGAGCGATTTTTTCCAAAGATAATATTTTCAGAGAACAAAGCCTATTGATTCATTATCTTCAAAATAAACATGCTAGTATTTTTCAAATATGTGCTCAAGTTCTCAATTCTCCCTCAGTATAATGTATTTGCTCCAGACGATTTTTACAGAATCCAGTAACAGGTTAGTTATTCTCAAGGTACTGCTGCACAGTCTGGAATTCTTCTGTGAAGGATAATCTCTTCCAAATCAGCACAGGACTCACTCTCTATTTTACTGTTGCTATCTCACCAAAAAGCAAGTTCATTGTTAAACATCATGATTAAAATTAATTCTTAAAGCCACCAAGAGGGGTCAGACAAAGACAAGTTACTACTGCAGGAAGGCTCCATGAAAGCAAAATGGAACCAAGGCAGAGAGGAGTGTGCAGAGGAAGTCAAGATCTAAAAGAGGAAGTTTGCAGTGGAAGTAGCCATTCCTGCCCTACTTTTGACAAGGGGGGAATATAACAACAGACTGGAATCTTATTATTTTTAAGGTTTGTAAACAATGGTAGTGATACCTTATTCTATTGATAAAAAAAAAGGCAGCACATTCCTTTAATGCATTCATTCTGAAGTATAATACATATATTCATTGGAATTATTACAAATTTGAGTACTATCTAAGCAAATTCCCACTCTTTGCTTTCACTATACTGTACTCAAATAACAGTCTTTGCAGCATTTCAGAACATGCTTCAACAAATAACACAGGCAAATGGTATACCAGTTCTTTGTGTAATAATGCAGCTGATCGTATGTAGTCAGCATCAGGTTGGTACCCGATTCCTTGTCAGCAATAAACACTAAGAATTTAGATACAATCAAGGAAATATAACACCCTTTCAGCATTCACAGATTTGAGCCCTACCACCTCTACTGCTCCCTGAGAACTATGATGAGAAATAACTTCCAGTCTATACTCATCCTTCTGGTACGGAATAGGCATTGATCTGCTAACTATAAAAGTTATTTCTCTCCCTAGTCAACACACTCCACACATTTGAGGAAGCACAAGTAGAGTTTATAGAATGAGAGACTTCTGTCAAACCACAGATACATACCAAAGTTAGTTCTGTATCCAAACGTTTAAAAGGTGGGTTGGTTTGTTTGGGGTTTTTTTTTTCCTTTCATTCCTGTCTTCCTTTTGCCTAAGTCCTTCTATCAATCTCTCTGGCACTTAGTCTTCCTTGTCTGAGATGTCACCTTTTTCCCAGCTGATCCAGACAACTGTAATAATTGTAAAAACTTTTTCCACACCTCCTCTAATACTCCCCCTGTACAGACTGCTCTAGCTATATCATTGTGCTTTGCAGCTAATTAGTCCTAAAACTTGTAAGACCTACAGAACCAAAGGAATAAGTCCTGTTTCAGTCACTAGAAGAAAAGTTTCTTTACTACCTTCTAGTAGATTTTACCTTATTTGGACTTGGATTTAAAAACTTTAATGAAACTGGACAGACAGTTATTTTTATCCCAGATGGTGTGCCTGTCATGTAATTTAAAGTCATTGTTATTAGTTCAGCAATCAAGGAGGATATAAGTGAAACACAAATGTTATGACAGAATGAGACTAGGAGTTGCGAACTGCTATGCTAAAGGAAAACAAATCAGACAAGAAAGCAAGTTAAAAATCAAGATAGCTGCATTTGGTGCAGGCTATTAATAGTGTCTACTTAAGTTCTGATTCCTAACAGGACGCTATGTGATCCTGTGACAAATTCACTCATCCATGTTATCTCCCTAGTGATTCATCATATATTCTAAGATGATAGTTAGTCAATTTTTAAATATTCTTCAGTTACATCTCAGCTGTGACCAATGCCACTCTCTGAATATGCATCATGAAAAAAAGCTTCCAAGTAAGCTAGTGGCCAGTCTTACTCACAATGAGACTTCAAGCTATGTACTATAATGATACCTGGGTTTATTGCTGCAGCTTTAATGTTCCTTTCTGCTCTCAAGCTTCAGTACCAGTCTTTACGAACACATCACCTAAGGCATCAGAGGAACCCAGCTCTGACCCACAGCAACCCTTACATAACAGAGGGTTGTCTCTCATCACTGTCTAAACATTCTAATGTGCAATTGAGACAATTTAGCAAGATTCAAAGTGAAACTGGGCAGCTTAATGGATCATTAGAATCAAAGAAGACACATTAAACCTGATTATTTTATATTACTAATTGTAATTAATACCGAATAAAGGTCTGGGAGAGAAAAAGCCTCATTGTAGGAACTGAATCATGTCCACCTATTACAGATTAAAGGGAAACCTTTCCTGAACAGGGCACACCATGGTTTCCTCATAGGAAAATTTATTCTACCTTCCTATTAGGTAAATGCTGCTGGCATTAGAGGAAAGAGACTTAAAATGGGCCACATCTGACATATGACTGAACAGTGCTGAACATTTAACAAAAACATGGAGCAAGATTTTGCTTATCACCTTTAATTCTTCCAGTGACATAAAGAAACCCATCCTTGTCTAGTTTTCCTAGATCTCCAGAATGCAGCCACCCATCCTCATCAAAGGCTTCTTTTGTTTTGTCTTCCATATTCAAATAACCCATGAAAACAGTCCTTCCCCAGAAACAGATTTCTCCATTCCCTTCTGTATCTTTGTCCACCAATTTCACTCTGCAGCCAGGTACTGGTTTACCACAGCTATTGGAGAAGAGCAGAAAAAACCACATGGGGCGCAGAAATATTAATCATCGTACTGATAAGACAGCTAGCACACCAAATCCCTGAACCTATCAAAATATTAGTAACTATAAATAACAGCCTGCTGTAAATGTTTGAAAGCTATGGAATATTAATTCACTAGGGCTGATATGTTAAGACTATCTAAGCACTTTTTGTCTGTCCACCTTGCCCTGTACTTCCTGGCTTTTTTCCCCTCTGTATCTTCAGGCATAAAAACACTTCTATATTCAAGGTCTTGCATTTGAAACCTATCCTACCCTGGGCCAGGGCTAGGATATAAGTCACATTTAGTAACTGTGTTCCGCATATAATGCTGTAGATCACTTCCAGTGCTCTTGGCATAGCATACTATAGAGGCAATGCGTTCAGCTTCTGACCTGGATGTTATTTTGCCTCCCAAAGTCACAACAAAGTGGCAATGCATCAAGAGAGAATAAAATAAGCAGTAAGATCTTTGCTGAACTCAGTAAATACTCCTCTCATAGACACAATGAAACAAACCATTGGGGGAGGGGGGAGAAAAAAGGGGAAAAGGGAACAAGAAAGAGAGAAAAAGTTACCTGTGCTGCCTGTAAATATAAGGCCCAGACAGGCAGTGTGGACCTGTGGTCTCACTCATCCCATAGGCCTCATACAGGGTGATGTTCAGACCCAAGAAGAAATACAGTGTTTCTGTATTGAGAGGAGCCGCACCAGAAAAGTGCTTCTGACAGCAAGAAAAACCCAGTGCATCGCGTATTTTTGCAAGCACCAAGTAGTCTGCTAATCTTGTCCAGAATCGCTTAAAATCACTGCTGAGTACAACACACAGAAGGAGAGAGTAAGTCAGAGCAACCTGTGAAATTTCCAAAACAAAATAAGACAAAAATTTTGTCTAGAGATATATTTGCCAGTTGGTTTGGGGTGTTGACAAAAAGTTACATCAGTAAGAACAGGTTACATATTTGTCCTTTTTGAATTTATTCAGTGTTTTTCATTGCTAGCGAACTCCAACTCCCGAGGTGTTTGAATACTGCAAATACATAAAGAACCTATACAAACGTATCATATAAAATAAAGCTCTTGTATTCCTGATTCTTCATCAGTTAAATGTGTTCCTGAGAACCTGTACCACTACAATCTGAAATGTGCAGGACCTGACTGAGAAGCTGAATGATCAGACAAGCAAAGCAGCATCATTGCACTATCTTTTGGAATACCATTTTCTGTAAGCCATTTCACACTTCATTATGTCACGCTTTAAAGGACTTTGGAACAGGAAAGAATTGTGAATTAAGTTAATATTTTAATTTATACCATGTTCTTTATCTGGGCAATCTTATGGAGAAAAACACCAATGTTATTCAGAACAGAGATAACGTACTCAGAGCTCAGAGAATTCACGGGGGTTATTCCCCAAGTTTCGCTGTGGAGATGAGATATTCCTACTCACACCGTGCATACCCCAAACTGTCATGAGCCAGTCAATCTGGGCTGTCCCTCAAAAGTTCCACTACTCTCATACGCCTCCTCCAACATCACGCCCTTTCCTCACACCAGTAACTAGCACTTGCACAGTCACATCGGGGAACTCGCCCAGCTGAAAACTAACCTGTTCAATTCACAGAACACCCAGAGCTGGGGGAGTATGTTCTCAGGGAGGATGGAGGGACACTTTTAACAGTCACCCGTCTTTAAGATCAGCCTACTGGAATCGATTACTACACCCTCCTTCTTGCATTATGTTTGCTGTGTTGCCAGGCCAAATTTTACCTATTTACACCTAAGAGTCTCACTTCATAGTTTATTACAGGCATATAGCTAGTCTTCATGCTGACGGAAATCTCACCCATTCTAATACATACCTGCTTGAGCAGTTTAGGTTTCTCTCTAAGCTAAGTGACATAGCCCATGACAGCATTTTCTTCTTCATAAATCCTGATTGAGCAGAAGCATCCTTTAATTTCTCCATGATCTTCTCCCATACTCGGGGAACTCCCATGTGAGATGTTGGCTGCACTTCTTTTAGCGTGTTGATCAAGCTGCCCTGTTAAAATCATTAAGTCATTTCAAAGCATTGCAAAAGGTCCACAGCAGCAACAGAGGTTTAGTGATGCGGTCTGCATCTTGCCATACTAACATGTAGAACATCACTAAACATGTAGGATATAAAGAAGGACTACTGAATCTATTTCAGTCAGACACAGGCACTAACATGTGCCAGCTCTGACACATCAGGGGAGGCATGTATACAAGAAGAAAAATGCACAAGTGGTTTAGTTCCTTCTGCCTCCCCTTCCTCCAAAAATTGCTTATATGTTTTTTGCTTGAGATGCATACTCTTCTGCCTTAATAGAAGCTTATGGATCTGAATTATGTATTTTAATTGGAGTCTAGCACACTGGATCACAAGTCTAATGGATTTTATTTTTCCATAATTCTTAGAATAATGGACTCTCAGACTTCATCCTCTGCACCTCTTCAAAGATCACTTTCTCTCCTTGGGATGCTTTCCAAAAGGAAAAAGTGCAACCTTTGATTAGGTGTAATACAAGACAGATACCTTTAGAGCATCTGGCTCAGCAAAGTACACTTGCTCTCCCCATTTGATTCCCGTCCACAGGTCATATATCTGCGCAGCTATGTGGCTGAGTGGGAGGTAACTGACTATAGACTCTTGTTGGACCTCTGCAGGTTGCATATCTCCTGCTCTGCTGCAATGTGCGGACGTCCAAGTTATCTGTTTAAATAAATAATAAAACACATTAAGTATGGTGGATTTTTTTCTTTTTTTCCTTTTAATACAAACTAAAGATCCTCATACTATGCTAATGTATCTATGAGGAATCTGTGCTGACAGAAATTGCTGAAAACATTGCCATCTTTGACAACACACCAGGTTGTCAATTCCCTGGGGGAAACTCAGTCAAAAGAAAGATGAATTTTGCAGCAACACAGACTTGCAGATAGCATAAATAAATGCAGTCTTTCTGTTGCCTGAGTGAGCTATGAACTCCCCATGCCCTAGTGACACACTGAGCAGGGCAGCCATGGGCTGGATAGACATGGAGTAAACCGATTTGCCCCTTTTTTTGCACCTCTCCTGCTGTGCATACTTTCTATCAAGCTGGCACTTTTCTCTAGTGCTATGTCTACATATTTACCTGAAAAAGAACAATAAATCCTCAATAATCAAAGTGAGCTCAAAGGACAGCTTAGTATCAGCAACAAGCTCATTGTCTCGTATTGATCATCAACCTGGCTAAGCGCTAATGAGGAAGATCGCAGTTGTATTCTGCCCCTCTGGAAGCCTCTGGGATATTCACCACAGTGGTTCACAAGTGACACTCTCATACATGCACCCCCCCATGAGCGGCACTGCATATGTGAATATTTTTGAAGTTTTGCTGCTTGACTTGGTGAAACTGGATGATATTTTCCCCCCTTCTTCCTAATTCCCACTTTATCTCAGAAGACGCAGTTCAAGGATGCTAAATATGCCTATCTTCATTATCAGAATATAGCATAAGGAAGATCCACAATTATATGTAATGGTATGAAGGGGGAGAGAAAAGATACATGTGCACAAAAGAAAAACACACAACCAACCAGCTCCGCCCCCCCCCCCCCCCCCAAAAAAAAGAAAAAATCCAACAAAAAAGAAAAACAGTTCTTTCTCAGAGTCATCTGTAACCTAAAATGGGTAGGGCGGGACACAGAAATGAGATTATGCAAGATAGCAGGAGAGAGATACAAATCACACGCAATACCTGTTATCATAGTATATTCCTGTCAGATCCTTTTCTTTGTAATAAATTAGAAGGTACGAGTGTACGTTTGCTCTAAGGAAATACAGATTCTCGAGAGAGGTTTTTAAAGGAATAGCATGTTGTGGCTATGGGAGTCCTAGAAAGTAGGCAGAATGGGATGTCTTCGAGATGTGGCTATACTGATTGTTTATCCTCCTTATCTGCCAAGCCTTGCAGCACACAAGCACACTCACAGATCTGTGTGGCTGCATGTATCACTGACTCAGCATTGGTTTTTCACATGGATAGCGGCAAACATCGCTTGACTAAAGAAGGCAGCGGCACAGCTACAAGCAAGGCATGTTTTCCACTGTTCATCAACATAAAAATAGCCTGTTTGTGATCAGCAGCCAGGAATAGCTTGGCAGCTAATGTGGAAATGACACCAGACTCCTTTGAGATGGAAGAGCACAGGATCTGCAACGTCAGATCAGTCTTTTTGTCTACCAAGTCTACATTCTGCTTCCAGATACTACCGTACTAATTCACTACCTTTGGGTAAATTGCTCCTCACAGCGTGCTTGTCTGCAATAGTTTCTGTTTTATTTTAAGAGGAGAGGCCATAACTTAGTCCAGATTGTCTACATGTTCAGAAAGGCTCCCTATCACTTTCCACTACCACTCAGCCACCTTGAAAGAAAAATAAATGGAAAAAACCAAACCGACCATACTTCAGATCTTTGCTAGCAGACCTCTATGGAAAGTGCTTTTTGCAAAAAAAGACTTTGCTTTTTCTCTATCACTGGAAAATTTTCTGTTCACAACAATGCGAGGGCGGCTATTGTAAGTAGCAGCACTATACACTAGAGTGGTAATTATCCTCCCGTGATGTAGAGGACAAAGTCCAGGAATACAACAATGCCAAAGTAAAAAAAACCACCACCACCACCAACAACAACAAAAACACACCCAACAAAAAACAAACACCACCACATATTCACCCCCAATTTTAGTAAAATTTGCAAAAGCAGTCTATCAGGCTGTTTTGATAGAGGCTGGCTGATGTATACGATTTGTTTGTTTTAAGATGACCTGTGACATCACCTGAGAGTCTTTATGGCAATGTGTGAATTATATTTATGAATATATGCATTATATCTCACAAGAAAACCAGTGAATGAAAAATTCATATTCATAAGAAACTGTTCAACCTTGTGAAGTGCTAGTTTGAATGGAGTTTCATTCTTTACCTTGCTTATACTTTAGCAGAAACAGCCGACTGCATTTTGAATATTGCTTTGTAGTACACTATCCATGTTGCAAAAGCAAAATGATTTCAAGGCTCTAGTATGTACCAGTCATTTCAGAACACAGCAATAAATATCCTCATACTTTTCTGGTTTTATGCTAAAGGAAGAACCTAAAGTACATACATTGTCATGACTCAGCATGGCTCCTTTTGGCTTCCCAGTTGTTCCAGATGTGTATATTAGCACGCAGCATTGATTCGGCTTTTGGGAGTTAATAATATCATCCAAAGTAGTATCAGATATGTCACCTCCCAACTCCAGAAACTCTTCCATCTAGAACATGTAACAGAAAATACAGAATATCAAATGTCTTCTTGCACATGGGAAAGATGCAGTACCTTACCAGTCTCAAAAATGGCAGAAACTTCAGTGCTCTGCTCTGAATATTTTTCCAGGGCAAATTTCCCCAGGTCTTGCCTATGTAAGAAATATGATAAGACTAGCTTAGAACTTTACGTGCTATTGGCACTATCTAAAATTGTGCTGTTATGAGTCTTTTTCAATGTCTAAGAAGGGAATGGTAATACTATTCCTCCTCCAAGATGGATACTATGAACAAGTCATAGAGGCTAAAATTCTGTTACTATCTTCACAGTGTTAGAATGATTTTGAGTCTTATTTAAAGGAATCCGGATGTACCGTTTTTAAGTAAAAATACATTTGTAACATTCCACCTGTAATTCCTTGTCCTCTATATGATTACAAATATAAATATAAAGCAACTGGATGAAAACTCCTTTGCAAAAGCATCACTATCTAGACATGTGAATGTTTGCCCAAATTGTCCACTATTTTATAGCAAACAGAGCATATGACGCTGGTCACAACTTCCATTCAAATTTGGCTCAATCTAGAATGAGCTAAACCTTTTATGATGCTGGACTTTTGTGCCGCACAAACTGGCCCAGAAGAATGCTGAACCTGATCCTCTATATTATTGGTTGCTCCCAGCTACTTCTATTGCATTCATCTGATATGCTGCTAAGTGTACCATTTATTTCAATGCTAATTGAAAACTAGTATATAACAGAATTTTTAAAGAAAGTCAATAACCAAACTGTCGGCTTCCCATTGGAATTGGATGATTCGTACTGTGCCGCAGAACTGCATAATTCAAATGCAAGATGCAGCACCTCCATTCTTCAATGATTTCTTGGAGATATACCTAGGACCACATAGCAGTAAAGGGGGTGATGCAAAGGACAAGCAGAGGTAAAAAAGGAGAGTCTGTGCCTGAGGGGGAGTTCATTGTTTCCTTCAGACCTCTGTGATTGCCAGCGTGCTGCTAAGGTTACAATAGTCAGCCTCTGTGATACCTAGACTTCCTTTTCTTGGGTGGCAAGGCTGTCCTAAGGATTCTTCTAATTAACAATCACCAGTTTTACACTGTCTTCCAACAAATTACATCTAAGAAAATAGAGGCAGTACAATGCACAGCTCTATAGCAAGTAGGGGATTTGTCACATTCTACCCCTTCCCACAGAATGCGGCCACAACAATTTCACTAGCTCCTGGAAAGTCTGGAGGTGTCAAGGATGTAATTACGTCTATGTGACTTACCAGTTGTTCCTGTTTTCCTGACCTGTCTTCTCATACTAGAAAGCGTTAATGACTCTGAATCTGTTGCCTAGGCTTTGTTTACTGAACAGCACCTGCAACAGAGAGCACTCCCATTCCACAGAGTGTGAGAGGTACAAACAGTCACACGCACTACTGGCTTTGCATTTGCCTTCTGGAAACATGCACTAGGTCACTGACCTAGGCCTCTGCCCTTCCTGCGGCAATTGCTCCTTACATGTCAGCTGTCAACTTGTGACACAAATCCCTTTTATCAAATGCCATGTGGTTCAGGTGGTTTGCTTTACATCAAACCTAATAAACAATCATTTCTGCCTTTGGTGATTTGATCTCCGATTTTTCCTTTAGACGATACAAACTATGGCAACTGTCAGACACTCTCACCGCTACCCTTCTGCATTGAGAAAATGTGTCCAACATGACTCCTGAATAGGAGTGTTTTCAAATACATCAATTCTCAGGCATTTAGGTTTCAGCAACTGAATGTTGTTCCAAAATTAATTGCTAGCCCTCATTCCTTTTACTAAGAAATATAAATAGTAAGATCAACTTTGTATTAATTTTTTTATTGTACTGAGATGCAAGGCATACTCTATACCAGTATGTACAGTATTGTAACAGTAACTGTTTATTTTTAACAGTTATATGCTATTCAACATAGTAAAAGAAGATAGGATTAAAACAAGTGCAGAAGATTTTTTCTTGCGTACCTAGTAGTCCCTCCAATTATCAAAACCGCAAATAGTTTAAAATATTTCTATGCTATTCACTCTTTGTTAGTATCTTCCCCCACCCCGAGCTGAAGTTTTTCAGCCTAGAATCTGGTAATTTGTAGTCCACTTAAATGTTCATTTTTGTATGCTTATTACTTAAGTATTTTCAATTACATTTTCAAAATATATTGGAATAACATGTTTACAAAAATCTGTTCTGTTTCAAGTGCTCATATTTCTTAAATTAAGGGCTGGACTTGTACCACTCAGAAATTTCTGATCCTGGCTTTGTTCCTTTTTCTGTTTTAGTTTTACCATGTGATATGAAGATTCCACACATATTAAGAAAATGTGCTCCTCTGTGTAGTCAGTAGTTACTTCTCCTCACTTGTTGCCTACCACCAGAAATACCTGCTTCAAACAAAATGCAGCTATCATCTGTAAAAGTACAAGCATTTTCACGTTCTTGGATCCAGTGTAAGTAACCACAATTCAGTTTTCACTGGACAAGTTCTAACAGTTTGAGAGTACACATTCCCACCTGAAGCCTAAAGGTGCCTTGTTAGTCCAGTCAAGTAAAAAGCCAAGACGACACAAGACAGGCAGTTAAGCAAGGCAGCTCTAATTTTAAGCGTCAAGTATCAAACACGAAGTTACAGGTAGATTAAACAGGAAAAGCTGATGCAGCTTTTGAATGTGTTTGCTGCAACACAGAAATGCATTCTAAATGGTAGACATTCCACAGATTAAACATAGTAGAAATTAATCAAATAAATAATACCCACGAATTATAACTGTTATAGCATCCACATACCGTATACAAATTTGCATGTCTCTCTGGAATGGAGTCCTTATATAGCACAATGGCTTTCAAGTGTGGCAAGCGATTCCAGATCTGTTGGATTTTTTTAAAACAAATTTATTATTAGTCATATCTTGTATGTTTGGGGTTTTTTCCCCACTAAAATACTGTAATGGCTTGACAGTCACAAGAAAACTCCTGTTTCCCTCCACCCTCAGATATTATCCCATAAACTCACAACCGAGAGGGGAAAGGAAAAAAGGGGGAAAAAAAACAAAGGAAGGGGGGGAAGAAAGACGCTACACAGTCTGCTCTAGAAAACCTGTTTTCAGTCAGAAAATTTTAAAAAAATACACCAGAAATGGCTCCTCAGAATCCTTTCTCATAATGCACCAAAGGGCACGTCAAGGAACAGTCTAGGTCAAGCTGGAAGCTGACCATAGCTCCTGTAGCTACCAATAAAGACAGAGGAAGTCCCTCAGCAAAAACTGTTGTTAAACTGCTAAAAAACATTCTACCTTCTTCAACAAAAAAAGAAAAGGAAGACATATGCACATTTCATGGATAAATAAAAAGCTGCAGGCTTGCAGGCAGACAGAAATGGTTACTGCTTTCAGTAGGTCTTTCTCTGCTTCACATGGCCTGCAGAAAGCATTCGTTTCACTGAACTTTGTGAGGCCTGGTGCCTCATAGATGCCTTTGAATTAACCACATTTGGAACTGATGTGATCAATCTGCGTTCATACAAAAGCAATGGCATTACGGTAGCCATTATGGATATATTATTAGAAGGGTAACGATTGAAATGATATTATTTTAGTCTTGGGTTCTTCCAGAAAAGAAGTTTCAAAAAACCCCTAGCTGGATAAAGCAGTGTTGGCCAAAGCTGTCTTGTCTTTTTCAGGAGAGAAGAGTGTATGCATCAAATTTCTTGAGTTCTTCAATTTATAGTCTTCTCTCTATGTTAATGGCAGCATAGCCTGGTATCTGGTCAACGACACCACACAAAGGCTTGTCTGATTATATGCTTTTCCAGAATAATTATAGAAAAAAATCTCTTCCTCCAAATCGCATATAAAACAAAACCACAAAATACTAAGCAATTAATGTGTAACTTATATGAATTACATTGGAAAAAAAATCTACGTATATTTTCTCTCTGGCAGGTACATGTTTTTGGCTGAGAACTCCATCCTGGAGAGCCCCCATGGTACAACTTTGATGACTTGTCTCCAGCCACGGGCCTCCGTCAACATCTTACTGACAGACAAGCCCTTTCCAGAGAGCTGCCCTGTGCTCCTCCGCCAAGTCATGCAACAGGGATCTTTCCGTCAAGTTGTTTTTTCAATCTGGCACCCTTGCACAAACCCACTCAAAGCTGCCAAAGAGTTGTGTCAAAACTTGACTTTTCACTTGAAGCGTCTCCTCCTTTCTCACTGAAGTCTATCTCATGTCAACCATCATTCTATTAAAGTGCAGTAAACTCAACAGCTTAATGGTTAATATTACTAGCAGGAAAAGATGACATTTTGGAAAGAGGAAATTCTAAATGCTAACATCCTTAATATTTAAATGGAAGGCCGTTACAAACTTGCATCAACCTAATCTCTTCCATTCAAGTGGTCTGTGCTTTTCCAAACAGAATCATGTGGTAACATTATAAAAATGCGATCAAAATGTGGATTCCCACCCCCCCCCCCCCCCCC